GGGGGGGGGGGAAGTAAATTGTTATCAGAAGCACAAATGAAGCCTGGGATCCCGTACAGGGGGAGCCGATGATGGAGCCCACCTGTGTGGATTTCCAGGGAGTCCACACAGGGGCCCCGTTGGCCAGGCCAGGGGTGACACGGCTCACCTGGCTGCGCTCCCTCCCAGGGCTCTTCATGGTCATGTTCTCCATCATCTCCATGGACTTCTTCCAGCTGGGGGCAGCGCAGGCCAGCTACCTCATGTCCTACTTCGGGGTCCTGCAGATGGTGAGTGGGCCAGGGCTCCCGCGTCCCCCACCCACCGCCCCGGCCCTCTCCCTCCTGCGTGGGTCTGCGCCCTGGCCAGTAGACAATTTTGCTCGTCGATCTCCAAGGGCCCCCCATGAGTCCCTGGGCTGCCCCCTCTGACTTCGTCCATGGGAGCTTCACACACAGGCCTGTAACTGTCCACTCTGGAGGCCGGAAGTCCAGCATCCAGGGGTCGACCGGACATCGCTTCAAAGGCTCTGGGGGAAGGCCCTTTGTCTCTGGCTGGTGGCTGACTGGCTCCACTTCTGGGGTCCTGGGGTCTCTGTCTGATGTCTCCTGCCCCTCTCTCATCCGGACACTAGTCATTGCCTTAGGATCCCCCCAGCCTCTGACCTTGTGACCTCAGCTTGGGGTACTGCTCTGAAGGTCATGCTAGGGGACAGGCACCGGAGGTCAGGGCTTGTCTTCTAGAGCCCTGCTGAGCCCGGGCAGCCCTGGGCCCAGCACCTTCACTACCCAGGGGGCTCTACCTCCTACCCCCTCAAGCACTGCTACCACCTTCTCTCCCCTCTGTGGCGTGGCTCTGGTCTTGGGGGGGGGGGCGGCTTGCCACCCCCTCTGCCAGTCAGCCCTCCCCTGCCCTCTCTTCTCAGAAGTCTGTGGACATTTCTGGAACTGCCTTCCTGCTGGGTACTTCCAACAGTGCCTCCCTCCCTGAGCACCTCTCCTGCCACCCCTGCCCCAAGTAGGCCCTGCCAGGTGTCCTCAACCCCCCCACCCCCCACCCCACACACACCTGCTACCCTCCCAGGAATCAGCGGCAGGTCTGCCCACCCTGCTCTGCTTGTTGCTTCCTCTCGGCGTGCCTCCCTGCCCCCGCCCAGCAGCACCTGCGGAGTGTGGGATGCCAGGTGGTGAGTGCAGGGTGCTGTCCCCCCAGGGAGGTTGTTGGGTTTGGGTCCCAGTGCCCACTCCAGGACCAGCAGGGATAGAAGCAGAGTGGACAACTGTGGAATGGGCATCGGGAGCTTCATGACTGGTGGCCTTGGCCAGGCCCCTGGGCTGGCCTGTGGAGGTTGAGCTAAGAGGCAAGGCCCCAGGAGGGGGCAGAGGCCAGGCAGGGCTACTTTTATGCCATCTTGGCTGCCCCATGGCTGGGCTCCCAGCTCAGGGTGGGCTTGTGTGCTCACCCACGACTGGGGGAGCTGAGGTTGCCCGGGCCATGCACAGCAGGGCAGGATTTGAACCCAGAACCCCTGGCTGCAGAGACCAGCCTTCTCCACTGCCTGAGCTCAGGGCCTGCGGACCCTGGGAGTTGCTGTGCTGGGGTTTCTGGTGGGGAAGCAGAGAGAACCCCCCAACCCGGGCGTAGGAGTAAGCAGGGCAGGCTTCCTGGAGGGGGTGACTCAATTCCGTCTCCACAGCTCTGTCTGTGAGCCCTGTCTGAGAGGGGAGTCAGTGAGCCTGGGCCCAGGGACCAGGACTGTGCACCGGGGCAAGCCAGGGGCAGTGCAAGGCCCAGCAAGGAGAGTGTCTGGCAGAGGGCAGCCTGGGGGCGAGGTCTGTCCAGAGTGAGGGTCTCATCAGCTTCTGAGAATCTTGGCCCCTCCTCAGGGGAGGCTCCGGAGCATGCCCGTCCTCAGAGCCCTCCCGGTTTGCTGAGCTAAAGGGAGAAGCACCCACATCTCTACCTCGGTGCTACTGCCGGGAGCTGGACAGGAGGTGTCCCCCTGGTAGGTCAGGGAGGGTGGATGGGCCCCCTCGCAACCAACCCCAGCCCATTGGGACCAGGACCGCTGCACCCTGCCCAGGCCCAGGGGGCAACCAGACCAATGGAGCTCCTCACGCCAGGCTGTGGCACAGGGCTAGAGACCCTCCTGGTGGCAGGAGCCCTGGTGGTGTTGTGGTTACATGCTGGGCTGTTCATCACAAGGCCAACGGTTCAAAACCACCAGCCGCTCTGAGGGAGAAAGACGAGGCTCTCTGCTCCCGTAAAGAGTGACAGCCTCGGAAACCACAGGGGCGGTTCTAGCCTGCCCTGTAGGGTCTCCGTGAGTCGGGATCAACTGGAGAGCAGCGAGCGTTTTGGTTAGCATGGGCTGCGCCCGGCCGTGAGCCTGGCTGTCAAAGGAACACCCCCTCCCCCCTTGGGGCCTGGGCATCTTGGCTTCTCTGCAGCAGACCGCAGGGTGGACTCGGTGCCTGCGCCTGCTGTGGGGCAGGGGGCATGGCACATTGGCTAGCTGAGGCTCTGCATGGGTGAGACCAGCATCCCGGGGGCGGGGGGGTAGAGGGGGTATACGGGGACCTGGGGGGGGCCAAGACGCAGAGTTGGGTGTGTGGTGCTGAGGAGCCAGGTAGGACCCACACAGGTTGAGGGGGAGAGGAAGGGAGGCCTGCTGGAAAGGGGGGGACCCCAAGAGGGATGACAGCCATTTACTCAGAGGGGCCGAGGCCAAGGAAGGGCCTGGAGGCAGAGTCCAGACCAGACAGGTGGCGGGCTGCAGGGGGAGCTGGAGCCAGGCCAGGGCGGGAGGCAAGGGCACTGGGTAAGGTAAAGGGGGGCGGGGGGCGGGGCTGCTCAGAGTGGAAATGACACGGGGCATTGGGCGAGAATCCAGGGGCCCCCCACCCACTCACATTCAATTGCTAACTCATAACTTTGAATGGCCCGGACTCCGTAGCAGTGCTGCGGAAGAAATGCCTGGTGCTCCGCTTTCCTAACAGTGGCTTGAAGCCCCTCTGTGTGACGTGGGGAAGGGGTTGGGGGTGGGGGGCTGCAGGACCCGAATGGACTTGACAGCCTGGGGTGTGGGTGTGTGGGTTGGGTTTTGTTTTGGGTAAGGCACCTAAGTTTTGTTCCCTGAGTGGGCAGGCAGTTTTCTTCTCTTGGCTAAAATACCCCGGAGTAGAATTGTTTGGGTCGCCTGGTCAGCCGTGGTCCCTGAGGTCCCCTTGTGGGCTGGACAAGGAGGAAGGAAGACGGCAGGGACACGGTGACTCGGGACAGCGGTGTCGGCGACGGACACAGGAAGGCCCATTCTTCCGTTGCGCCGGATGAGCAACGACGCGGTCTCTCTTGGAAACCGCGCAGCCAGACGGCTCCCTTGAGAGGGAAGATGACCGGACTCGGGGCACGTGCTTGGGATGTGGGCACTGGTCCCTGGAGGACGACGCTTGGGAAGTGGAGGGACAAGATGGATGGACACCGGTGATGGGCTCAGACCTAAGGACCCTTGTGGGGACGGCGCAGGGCCGGGCATGGTCTTGTTCTGTTGTGCCGGGTCACTGTGAGTCAGAGCTGACCGGACAGCACGCCAGCAGGGAACATGGCCATGTGGCCAAAGCCGCTTGGGGCTGGACCAGGGTGGCTGAGTTCATCCTTTGTCTCAGCCTCATGGAGGGGGTGTTGGGGAGGGGTGGGGGGCAGGCACGAGGAGCAAGTCTGGATACAGGCGCTTGAGGAGACGGGTCTTGTCCATTTGAACAGATGTCTCTGAAACCTCTCAGTTCTCCCGGAAGTTTCCTGCAGGGATGCTGGGGGCTAGATCCGGCTTCAAAGCCACACTCAGCAGCCTGGGGGCTCCCAGCCCAGCCACCAGGGTGGTGGTTCACCTGGTTCCCTGCTGGCAGGAAGTGGGGAGAGTGGTTTGGCCTGTTCTGTGGCTTCTCCCCAGCCCTCCACCACACCACACCCGCCCTGCCTCGGGGTGGAGGTACTTCCTGACTGTGGAGATGAACCTCAGGTAGGCGCCTGGGAGTTGCCCCAGGGCTGGGCTGCCCTGAGTCCTTTGGGGCCTCTGCCCTCCCTGGGCAGGGAGGGCTGTACTGAGGAGCCCGGGCTGAGGGGTCCCTCAGGACATGGGGCTGACCACTGCTCCCACCTTGACCTCTAGAGCCCCCCAAGGACCAAGTTTGGGGATCCACACTGAGTGGTGAGGGTGGGACTTATCAGCCACTAGCCTGGGCCTCATCCCAGCTACACCCACCCCTGCCCACCTCAACCCCCTGGTCCTGGTCTCCCCTGATGGAAAATGGGTGCTGGCCTCGAGGGTGGCTGGCACCCGTGGATGGTAGCGGAGCCTCAGTCTTCCCATATGTGAAATGGGGAGATTCCTGCTCCCTCTCTGGGAGGACTGAGGGGCTGGGGTGAGAAGAGGAACTGGTCAGATGACACTGGAGGGGGCACATCTGAGCCATCAGGGTCCCCGGCAGCTGCCCTTTGCCTCGTACACCATCAGTTGTTCTGCCCTCTCCCCCTGGGCAGCCCCTCTGTGGTCACCTTCACTTGTTGTGGGGTGAACTTGAGCTGAGCCCAGTGCAGCTCTCAGGGCACTGGGCTTCTCCCTGCGTTGTGGGGGGCTGACCGCTGGGCGGGGAGTTCAGGCCATCAACCGTCCAGTGAGCAGGTGGGGGTCCAGTCATTTTGCCACATTGGCAGGGACTGAAGCGTTTTTTGGGGGGGGTCCCTTGCGGCCCCGTGGCCCAGGGACACGGCCCTGGCAGGGGACCCGTGGGGTACCTCTCCCCCTGGACGTGGCCAGCCTGTCTGCGGGGGTGGAACCCTGAGGGTTACTGAGGGCCCCTCCTTGTCTGGCCTGGCCCAGGTCATCCAGGGTGTGGTGGTGGGCCGTCTGAGCAGACGCTTCTCTGAGGGCACTCTCCTGCGAGCCAGCGTGCTGATCTTCACAGCCGTGGGCCTGGGCATGGTGAGTACCCCTCCCCACTTTGCCCAAAGAGCCGCACACCAGGCCCCCTGACTCCCTGTGGGGGCAGCTGATCGGTGGTGTGGGTGAGGACTGGGTGGGGGTCCCCTAAGGACCCACGCTCAGCTGGCTGCCCCGTCCGCATCCCCAGGTGCTGATGTCCCACGTGTCCCACTTCTGCCTCCTGGTGCCCGGCTTAGTCTTCAGTCTCTGCGTCCTCAACGTGGTCACCGACAGCATGCTGACCAAGGCTGTGTCTGCTTCCGACACCGGTGGGTGAGCTGCCATGTGGCCCAGTGGGAGGGGCCGGGAGAGGGGCGGCCCTGCCACACCCAGTGGGGGCTGGGTGGCATAGCTGGGGGTGAGAATTCTGCCCACCCGTGGCCTGCCTGGCCCCAGGGCAAGGACCTGGAGGAGGGCTTGGAGTCGGTGGACAGGTGGGCGGGGTTGTGTAGCACAGGTAGGAAGTCACTGACCAGGAGGTGTTAGGGACCAGGGGGAGACAGTTCACCCAGAGGACCAACAGACAGGGTCCCTGTCCCCCTCCTCCAGCACCCACAGGAGATCCCTTGTCAACACCCCCCCATCACATACCAGTAGATCCCATCTCCTCACAGGAGAGACCCTTGGTCACCCCACAAAGAGCCCCATTACCCCACAGGAGAGTACCCTATCCCCCCATACCCCTGCCCTCACTCTGGAATAAACCTGCTTTTGTAAAGCTGAGGAGAGAGTGGGGACTGGGTGTTGGCCTGGCCGACAGGAGGCACTCTCTGGTTCCTGTGGGCTGCCTGGACTCGAAGGGCCCTCGTCACACTCTGGGGACTGGCTGCCCTCCGTGTGTGCCCCCCCCCTCCCCCCTGTCTTCAGAGTGGGCAAGAACAGCCGTAGGAGGACCTGTCCTGGGGGAAGCCTGGGGCTGGGGCTGGTTCCAGGAGGGAGCAAGAAGGCTTGGCTGGGGCGGGGGTGAGCAGAGAGGAGGACCCCGGGCCAGCCCTGCACACCTTCCTTGCCTGGGGAGGAGCCGCCTGCCCGTACCCAGCCTAGCCTGGGAACCCAAGACCTGGAGTGGGTGCTAATTGTGGCCTGTGGGCCGGGGCTGGTTCCCAGGTGTCAGGGCCGGAAGTGGTGAAGCCAGGTTCTACAGGTGCCAAACAGGCTCTCCGACTCCCAGGTGGGCAGAGCCAAGGACACTCTGAGCCATATCCGGTTGGCTCATGGGACCCCTCTCTCATGGCCTCAGGAGGCCCTATGCTTGGTGACTGCCCGCCCCTCCCCCACGCCATGTTGGCCCAGTGTAGACAGTGGCCACGCCCTACCCCAGGGCTGTGATAGTGACCCGTGGCCCCCCCCAGCCCTGCCCTGCAGTCCACCTGCCCCACCTGGGGCTGCCCATCCCTGTCTGCACCTAGAGCCAAGTCCTGCTAGGCTAAGCCTGGGGAAGGTCACCTCTGCCCTCCCCCTGGGGCTCAGATGGGACCTTCCTGAGCAGGCTTGGGAGGTAGGGTCTGCTGTCTGACCTGTGGCCCCAGAACTCCCAACTCCTGAGACTTTCTGGGGGGTAGGGAGGAAGCGCTAGAGGAGGGGAGTCCCTCCTCCCCCAGGGGACTGGACCGCCACTGAGTAGCCCCTCCCCCAACAGGTGCCATGCTGGGGCTCTGCGCCTCTGTGCAGCCGCTGACCCGCACCCTGGGGCCCACCCTGGGCGGTCTCCTGTATCGACGGTTCGGTGTGGCCGTCTTTGGACACGTACAGATGGCCGTCAACCTCCTGGTCTTCCTGACGCTGTGGGGGCAGCCCGTGGCCCATAGGAGGGGCAAGTCACAGTGACCCAAGGCGTGGACTGAAAATAAATACCCCTCAACCACCCCATTGCCAGCTTGCTTATGGGGACGGACTAGGGGCCGGAGCGGCTAGGAGTCTGTCTCCAGCGTGAGGTGGGCCTGGCCTGGCCACTGGTTCAGTCCCGGAATCCCTGCCAGACACAGCCAAGGGTCTTACCGGCACCCCCAGGCCCGGCCCAGCACGTGGCCTGGGGCCTTCCGGAAGGTTCAGAGTCAGACCCCACCCCCTCGTGGTCCCCAGCCAGGGAGAACCAGATCAGGGGACCAACTGGAAGCCAGACCCCCAGCACCAACCCCGCCCCCGCAGGGCCACCTGAGGGAGGGGCTACCTGGGGTCATCTTGCCCACCTCACTGGCCCCGATCCGATGTGAAGGCCAGTTGTGGTCCTCAGCAGACCCCAAGAACTGGGGATCAGCTGTCACCCCACCCCTCAACCAGGGGCATCAGGAGTCGGGGTCTGACCAATCCTCCAAAGGGCACAACTATGATGGGGGGCCCGCCCTTTCCAGAGCCAGGGGTCTTCAGATGACGCTCCCCCACTCCCCGTCCCCAGAAAAGAGGAGCTTGGAGCCTAGGCCAGGCGCCACTCATCTCTGCTTGGATGCCACCAGGGACAGGAGTCTCAGTTTCTGTCATGAGTCATTTTCCCAGACAAGGGTCTAGACCCCAGGGTGGGGTTCCCGAGACCCAGCCAGTGGGGCTGAGACTTGGGGGTGTCCCCAAGTCAGCCCCGGGGTCCAGCCCAGGGGTCTTTCTCCTTCCTTGCTAGGTACAAGAGTGTGCGGGAAGCGGGGAGGGGTCTTCACAGTAGGGGGCTGGAAGAAACTGGGTTGTAGGAAATATAGCTTCTCCGGGCCCAACGCCCAGGACCCCTGGAGGCTGCCCAGTTAAGGGACAGCCAGGCCCCTCCTGTCCTGCTGCTCCTATGGCCGGCTCTCTCCCCTTGTGTTCCCTGGCCAGAAGCCTGTGTAACACACCTTTCACTGTGTGTGTGTGTGTGTGTGTGTGTGGTGGTGGGTGGGGGGAGCCTCCCCTCCCAGGGTGGGGGTAGTCCTGGACATGCTATCTCAGCCCTGCTGACAGGAGCTCAACTGCTGGCTCCCTGGATGCACACACACCCCCACCCACCCCCACCCCCGTGGCCCCCCGACACCCAGGCCAGTGCCAGATCTGTGATTCAAAGACCACTTGCTGGAAGCCATGGCCACAGGGTCTGGTGCTGGGCCTTGCAGGGCCACTCCAAGGGGGTCCCCAGGAGCCGCGGGCCCAAGGCCAGAGTGGCAGAGGCGTCCTTCCGCTTGGTGGCTGCCGGACAGGTGGTGTGTGGGCGGAGGGGCGAGTCAGTTCTCGGGTTGGGCCCATCCAGTGCCTGCGGGGAAGTTTGTGGCGAAATGGGCTCCTCTACCCCACCCCTGCCACCCCGCCCCGCGTCTCCCCCTCCTTCCTCGTCAAGCCCACTGCTTGGCCTTGGCCTCCACACCCTGCCAGCCAGAGCCGAACCCCATGGCACTTCCGGTCCTGGGAAAGTTGACACTTGGGGCCCGTCCAGAGCCAAAGCCAAAGCCAAAGCCGGCTCCCCCGGTCGCCGCAGGAAAGCCACAGGCCGGCAGCGCTGGTAGAAAATGGATCGGCGGAGTTATTTATTTAGAACGGACACTGATGTAAAAAACGAAACACAAAGACAGGACGGTGCCGTGCCGACTATCAAAATAAATATATAGATAGATAGGTCCAATAAGTTAACGCGCCCGCACAGCGGGGCGACCCTGGCGGCGGGTGGGTGGGTGGGCAGGCGGCTCCTCCTCCGGCGGCATCTTGAGGGTGGGGGCAGCCGCAGTCCCCGCCGGACTCCTCCAGTCTCGGGCTCCTGTGGGGGGAGAGGGAGGTCAGCGTGGGACCCGGGAGCGAGGGCGCTCTCCTGGTTCCGGCGCAGAGGGCGGGGGCGGGGGTGCTGGCTGGAAGGAGCTCACCCGGCTAGGGTAGGGGGCTCTCACCCGGCTAGGGCTAAGGGGGACAGGGACACTTGAGGCGCTCACCCGGCTAGGGCGCGTGTGGAAGGCCGGCGAGCGCTTACCTGGCCGGGGAGGC